TTTTGATGATTAGTAAAGACGAATTCTTTTTTTTTTTGAAAAGTTTCTATAGTGAACGAATTAATACAATGACTGTATATATGATACAAGCGAATAAACAAATATGAGAATTCCTCTTTTACGATTAAAATGGCAGTCATATGTTAATTACTCTACAGTTAAATTATCTACAAGAGCTGGTTCATTATTAGTATACAAGTTGAGTGTGATATTTGAAACGATTAGAATTTTTATTAGTTATAAAAGAAAATTTCAAGTCATCAACGTATGAACGCAATATAGGAAACAAATATTTACTTAACAAGCGAAGAGATAAAAATACTGATGCGAAGATAAAAATCGTTAAAATAGAAAACTAATATTAGTTTACTGAAATTTCTAACATTGAAATGAATTTTATGAGACATCATTTACGTAGATATTGACCATTATAGAGTCTTCGTCCAGTCATTTGTATAAATCATTCAAAAATGCTAACTATTTGCTTCCATCAATAGTATATTTTTAAGTTATAACACACATTAAATCGTTTTGTATCCATATCTTTCTTGTCATATTCATAAGAAATCATAGAAATGAAAATATTCTTTTTATCGGAAAATAATTCTGATGACTGTATTTAATTGATATATTATCAACCATATGTCACTATTACTTATATATAATTGCGATGCACATTGTTAATAATTTTCTTTTTAGTCGAAATAAATGTTTATTTTCTAATTATATAGACTTTTTTCATTTAAACTATTTTTTATTTCATCAATTATTTCAAGTTATCCTATTATAGTAGTTTATTTTATCAATTGTTGGTCTCTCGTGCAACGGTTAGTCGTGTTTGCTCTTGTCACTTCTATCCGTGTTCGGATATTCTCTTTTTCTTCTCACAAGAATTTAAGTTTAAGACTGTTAACAAGTGAATCAATCTAATTGATCTAAAATACATTTCTACTTTTATTTTCTAAACGATCAGTATTTATAATGAACGAGTTAGAGAAACACCAAATGTAATAGAAAAAAAAAACATGAACGCGAGGAAAAAAAATACTTGAATAATATCAAAAGAAAAATCATTTCGGAAAATACTGGACCATGAAATAAAGGAGAAAAACAAAAGGATACATATACTTTACACTTTAAGAAAAAAAATGGTTTCGAAAAAACGAAGGTTTCGTATCAAAGCTTTTTGTCAAATAGAGAATAAGAGTTTGTAATGATCCATACATTCGCACTATTAAGCTTATCTACTTACTCTCATGTTCTTATGTTTATACTTTTGTCCTTATTTCTATGTATTTAGACCTACGATAGAAAACGATGATCGTTTAATAAAATCCTTTAATGGACGGTAGTGGCATCTTCATACGGAATAAAATGTATCGAAAAATAAAGAAAGAGAAATTCGAATTCTCATAAATTCAGAATAATATCTTCAACTTTAAAAATGTAAAATCGATAAAATGATACATATTCAAAACGTTTATGGTTGAGCTAATGCTGTTCAATCGTTCAATTTCTGCAATTAATGATATGAAGAATGGAAAGTTGTCATTTAATTGTATTAGCATTCGCGTGAGTACATCAATGGAAAATTATTATTTATTCGAAGTCTCTGGTTGCATTCGAAATTTTCATCTACTACAATCTTTAAATAAACAGTATGAAAGTTTTTTAAATGGTGTAATTACTGCATCTTTCATGAATATATATATATATTATTAAGAAAAGTGGGTGCACTTAATAGTTTGAGAAAAAAATTGATTTCAAACAAATATCTGTTCTGATGCATATGAGGTATCTACTGCTTTGGGAATTGAATTATTGGATAGTTTATATCTTACCATTAGAATTATTAGTCCTGGATCACTATTATTATTGATGTGATCCTTTAGTGCAGAAGTATCTTTTTTTTCCAATAATGAATAATATCTTTTAACATTGTTGAATAAAGAATTAATCAATATGAATTTGCAATACAAGTATAGTTAATAGTTATGTAAAATTAGTAGTAAAAGGTTATGTGATTTCATTTCTATATGAAACAGATTTATTATGTTTTACTTCGTCCGATATCCTTGATTGTTCACAAAACAAAGACTATGAAAAACATAGATGCACTATATTTGTATGTTTAATAGATGAAAAAATTTTAAACCGAAGTTATAGCATGAGTTACACATATAATGGTTTAAACATAAAAAAAGTTACAGCTTAAATCTCCGCACTATATTAGTACAGATGTGAATAATGATCGAAGATTGCCATCATGACAAAGATAAATGTATTTAGCACTATAGTTGCATGTTGATTAGATTCAAATATGATTTTGTTTTACGTAAAATAAAAAGTTCAATGTTATCTAAAAATTTACCGTTTTTTCAATGTTTTTCTAATTATGAATTCAATATAAACGAAATGCAAAATTTGGTCCATTATAGCTCTTTATAAACAATGTCACACCAATATTTACTGATCTATGCGAAGTACAGGTGGATATTCTTTAACACTAACCATCTGAAAATAATTGTATCATGTAAAATATAAGAGAAATCGAATCCTGATATTTCCTTTTTGCGTTCAAAACAAAACAGATTTATAAAGATCCGTTGTACAGCAATAAAGAGAAAATTTTTGATTCACGAAGTATCTTGTGAATGATAGAATAAAATCAAAATTGAATTTCTATGATATGTGGAATCTGTCTGGTTTATATTTGAGCTTGGAAGGTTCATTTTAAACATATTTTTGTTCTAAATGTATATATATATATATATATGATATTCATTAGTTAAATAAATAATAATAAAATACACATGTGTTTCGTTCGTCGAAGTTTTTAGTGACAATGATGGTATTCAATTGTAGTCGATAGTTTCATAGAATTTAATATGAATACATGATGCATGTAAAAAACAAGTTCGATATCAACGATTAACAATAAGAAAAAACAAAAGAATTATAATGTATCATATCTTGAATTTAAAACCAATATGATAGTGATATGATAAAGAATTAAGTGATGGCAATCGTCAGGAATTGTTTGAATGGTAAATACATGTTCAAAGATCTACGATGATTAGATTCACTATCAAATGTAACCTAGATCGATAAACTCATTTCGACATACGCTGTTTTCAATATTCATATTGAACTATTCATGAATAGATCTATCTTTTGAATATTATATTCATAGTTTGAAAAACGTTGATTTCATAATACAAAATTATCTATAGAATATTTGCAGTGGATATCAAAATTATTCAATAAGGTTTATTTTCAATTTTTTTTCCGTTGTCGTCAGCGCTAGAAAGAGTCTAAATAGTGATTCAAATAGAAATAATTATTTCCTAAAGAAATATAATGAAATAAAAATTATTATCAGGTTTTCAAAAAATAGAGACTCCAGAAAACTAAATGGTTAGTTTTTCAACAACTAGAACAGGTAAATATAATTTTGTTCAGACTACATAGAACGATAGTGCAAATAATTCACTACAAAATGAGATGTCTACAAATTCTCTATGACCGTTATTTAGCTGAGGTACAACAATCTTATGGAAGTCCCTAAAGTAGGTTGTTTTCCAATTTTCTATAGAAAAATCATTTGTTTTTGACTTTCACTCAAATTGCTTTATCTTAGCGAAACAGCATTGCAGAGAACTCGACGATGTTTCATTTTTTTAGAAGATGGTTTATTCTATCGTTCTATGTAGTCTCAGCAAAACTATATTTACGCTCTTTAGGTGCTACAAAACTAGTCTTTTGTTTTCCTTGAGTTCCTATTTTTGCAAATATGATGATAGTTTTTATTTCATTATATTCTTGTTGGAAACCATTTTCTCTTTTCAAATCACTATTTCGATTCTTTCTAACGTTTACGGCAACAGAAAAGATGTTGAACATAAACCTTGTTCAATAATTTCGATACTTACTGTATATATGAAACATATATTGTAAAACATAAATTCAGCTAATCAATTATTTATTTTTCTGCGTACAGAGAAAAACTTTTCTTAGATCAAGAAAAAAGGATTGTTATTGTGCAAAATATTATTTCATGGTAACTGATAAATTTCTTGTAGCTATAGCTGTTGTTGTATTCATTGAAATAATTCGAATTGTTCTAGTTAGAATATCAGTAGTTGTTGTTACTATAGTCTTTGTAATAGTAGTAGTGGTGATAGGCATTGTAATTGATAGTAAAGTATTATTACTAAAATTTGTATTAGTACTGTCAATTGTATGTTTAATTGTGGAAAGTATTGTCGTATTCATAGAATTCGATGTTTCAAGTGCAAATGCTAGAAAGAAAAAGAAAAAGAAAAAGAAATTATAGAAAAATCTATTTAGTTTTTGATGAATACTCTGTTGAATTCAGATTACAAAAAAATTATCTTAAGGTAGTTGGAATATTTTCCATGTGGATAAATCGAAACTACAAAGGTACTCATATTAGGGTAGAAAGTGATTAGAAAAAAAAAATCTAATGTTTTACCAGATGCTTCGTGAGATAGACGATGAATTTGATGGAACTCTGAAGTAAAATAATAGTATAAGTAAATTAGAAATTGGAAATTCTTACTAATCGAAATAAATATTATAGTTGTTATTAAACCTAATCCAGCAATAACAGCGATAAGTATTAAAATAATGGTTTTTCTTGAATAAATTGATTTTCTATTTATTCTATTTTCATATTCTTCATTGTTAGTATTCTAAATTCATTTTAAAAAAGAAAATTATTTATCGAATTCTAAAGACTTACTTGATTTTCTTTTATTTTAATATTATTAAGTAAATTAATCTGATGCATAGGTTTTTTTAGTTATTATTCAATTTTACAAATGAAGATAAGAAGAACAGAAAAAGAAAAAAAAAATATAAACTGAAAGATATTTATTAATTCAAAACAGATCAAACATCATGAACAAATCAAAAGATAACTATACAAGTAAAGAATTTCTAGATATAAGAATGATTAATAACATCTTGTATGAATTTTATTGAATTATTATTGGATGATTTTGATATTCAATTTTTGTTTCTATTTCATCTTGTTGATTTTGATTTGAAGGTATTATCATAGAATGATTTGTAGTAAGTATAGGTGATGATTGAAATGAAAACTTCAAATGACTAGATTTATATTTATAGTTTCTAAAAATATTATTTCAAAAAAAATATATATTGATTAGAAAATTATTGATTTTTACTGAATACATCGATGAAGAAGAATTGTTATTAAATATAAAAGTAAATGACTTATTGTTGTAATAATTGAAGTTATTAAATAATGAAACTATTGAAGAAAGAAATTAAATTTAAAATATATAAAAAAATAAAAAAATAAAAACAAGATTTGAAATTATTAAACAAACTAGATGTTTGACAAAAACATGACAAAATAGTTGTGTAAAATTGTTATGAAGTTCGTAAAAAATTTGACAATGACCAAATCGTCGTTCATATTTAGAATGATTCTTAAATAGACATACGTTTTAAAAGAAAATTCTAACTGTGACATTTATTGCAACATAAATTGAAAATAAAATATCTGTCTATACAATAAAACTTTTAAATGAATATCGTTGGGACTTTTGAATATTGTTCACTATTGAGAGATATTCATCGACGGGAGATGTCATATATTTTACTAAGAAATGAAAAATAGTTTTACAATATAAACCTCGTTACTGTTGTCGGTGTCAAAGTATAATGCAGCCCGATATTTTTGTGTATATCTCGAGAATGAAAGTAGCTTGAAACCTGCAGTTTTCATCATTCGAAAGAGAAATATGAGGAAAGTAGAACTTTGCTGAAGTATTCGGACTATATATTGGTCAAGCTAGTGAATTTTTGCTACAGATTTTGACCAGAAGTTTTCACAAAAACTTTTTGAACTAACAATGAGTACCAATTCAGGACATCGATAGCAAAGATATTTCTCTGTCAATCTACACAAGGCCAATCCTTCTAGCTTGTTCTATTCAAGAATTATTAGTGTTTTGCTGGAATCTTTGAAATCGGCCAACTGACCGCTGGTCATTCTAAACTATATTGAGTTTGGTACATTCGTTTACACTAAGTCCAATGATGATATTTGATCTTAATTTTGAAAAGATCTGGTGTTGGAAAGACAAAACTGCGAAAATATTCTATCTAACATTAAAAGCTTTGTATAGATTGAATTATAAAAATCATGATTTAGCAGTTTACGATCATATTGAAACTAAATCAGTGTAAACGAATAAAAATAGGTATTATAACGTATGCACTAAAAGAAACTACTGATCAATTTTCTCTGTCCAAGCTTAATTTTCGCGCCTCTACAAAGTCGATTCATAAATCCTAAACGAGAAGTCCTAGATAAATGTTGAATCTATATTCGGAAATAATACAAAATTTGGTCACATTACTTTTCGAGAACCCGTCAGTAAGTCTACTATTCATGAATGAAAATTTTTTAATTTCGTTTGAAATAAATTATAAAAATGAATCTTATATTCAAATTATCTTACTAGATGATATTGATTAAGATCAGTGTCTTCTATATTCATTTTATCTATATTAATATTCTAAACATAAGCAAAATTAACTTGTTAATATTCTGTTTATAAATAGTTCAATCAAAACATTACATCTATTCTATCCATTTTATTCTCTAATAATGCCAAACGAATAAAATCAATAATTGACAATAACGGCAGATTTTGTTTACATTTTCTATAAACAAATATCTTCATAAACTGTTCTTTTTTTTTTTCTTTTAAATCTAAATTCTACTCAATTAATTGATCAATATCAATAGGTTCATTATTCATTGCTATGAGAAAAGTCGAATTAAACCATTTACTAGCAAATAACAGCTAAATAGAGAAATAAAATGTTTTGCTAATTCAATAAAAATTTTTCCTTTACTGAATTATAAACTTGTTTTTGTTTCAAATCATTACAAGCTGAACAAGCACCAGCTACATGTGGAAGAAGAATAACAAATTTAGTGAACCTACATTAAATTTTAAAAAAAAATGAAAACCAATGAATCCATAAATGTATATTTATTAATCACCAGAGAACAAAACCAATCCAATAGATAATTGATAATCTACAATACAACAAGATAGATGATTAGATTTGTTCATAATAAATTTACATAAAACTCATTTTCGTATATTGACATGATTTAAAATAAGAACAACGAAGTTTTTTTAATAGTAGATAAACAACAAATCCATATAGAATAAGAAATATAGCAGTAAAAATGATTGTTATTAGACGAGTACTAGAAAAATAAATAATAGAACATTTATTGTCTTGTCAAAGGACTACCGGGATTTATCTTTCTTCGGACTTATTTAAACCAGCAAATTTATCTATTGATAGAAAATAATACATTTTTAACTGTACCAAAAGCGAGTCATCGTTCGGAATAGTGAGTCCTCACTTAAAGCCGGCACGTCGGTCAACATGTTGTTCTTGCCTTCATTTTCAAATAGGTACTTGTTCTCGATCTAATCCCTCCCGTCTGATGATAAAATATATAGAGAAATTTTATAAAAAAGTCCCGAAAAAATAGATCCCAGAAGTTCTTGCTCTTTTCGGAAATAATCTTACATGAACCAAAAATGAAATAAATTTTTTAAATTTTTTAAATGTATTGATAGATCATGAAAAATCTATAAATAAAAAATGAATAGATTTACTAAATAATATTTTGGTTAAATATATATATATATATTACATTTGTTAAAAATGATACACCATTTAATGCGAATTTTAAATCGAAATTGGTCTATAAAAAATTGACACCTTATCAACAAAAAAGAAAACAAAAAGAATTTTCTATTTTATTTTACATGAAGAGTTTCATTGGTTATTAATGTAGATTCAAATTTATCATCATTTATTTCAATTGAATTAAAAAAACAATTTGTTATCTAAATATTCAAAATTTCATAAAACATAAAAGAGAAAATTACTTTCAAGTAATTACAAATGCTGTATGTTCTATAAATGAAATTAATTCTAATGAAGATTTTTCAATATAATCATGAATTTTTCTTTCAATAGTAATTCCTTCAATAATAATGATAATCATCCATAAAAGAAAACCACTATGAAATATATATATTTTGTTCTATTCAATAATTAAATGATTTAATTTTACCTTGTTAATAAAAGACAAATAAGAAATACTGAATAGATACATTGAAATAAAATATGACAAGCTTTTCGTTTTTTTGAATAATAATCATTGTTAAGAACTGATTGTAAAGTATTTATTACATGTGAATAAATACGAGATTTTTCTTGTTTAAATTCATTATTCCATGACGATTGATAATAATTATTCTGTATGGATGATTGTTTTTGTATGATCTGTTGTTTGTTTTTGTATTTACAAAATGTTTTTATACTTGATATAATGAAGAAAATTAGTAGAAAAAATAAAATAAAAATAATAAGAAACATCCATGAATTGTTTGATATCTATTGATATATATAAGAATATGAAAAATAAGATAGAATTGAAATTAGATAATATTACTAATTGAAAAGTAAATTGAACCAAAAATGATTCCTTGTTATCTTCATCAAGTTGTTGACCGATAAGATCTATGAATGACAAGAAATGTTATAGTAAATTATTTTCAAAATATTTTTTTTTTATTCTAAGTTTTACTCCAAGGAAACCGTATATTCATTTGAGTAAATTTTTGATCAAACCAATTAATAAATGATTTCTTTTCTGTCAAAATATAATCATTAGATTTTGATATAAATTTAGCTTTATATGCTATTTGAATACGTTGACATGATATTGACATTGCTTGTTGAATCATAGTGAAAAATATTATTAAGAAAAGCATTTTGCAATGACTACTGAATCGATCAGCTGATCTTTCTTTCATTAACGACATTTGAATTGAAATCGATCCTTAATGATATTCATTAGTCAATAATTAGCTTAATTTCCATAGAATATATTCTTCAATATAACAGAACGGATAAAGAATTGTTTTGTAATAAATATGCAAAGTTTAATTCATTTCTACCAGTTTTCTTCATATTATTCTCTTTTTTTATCAACCTTTTTTCCTTGAAAATATCCAATTGTTTCAAAAAATAATTCATTTATTTGGAATTTGGTCCATGTAAATTTATCAATAAAGTGTATTATAAAACAATTTAATTTGTATTATTGTATGATATATGTGTATCGATAAAAACGAATCGGATGTATCATTACATATGGGCGCGACAAGCCGACCTGATGCTCCAAGATATATTTGCTGATATAGGTTCATCTTTTTATCGGAACAATATGATTTTTTTTACCAGTTATACCTTGCATATAGTACTACTGATCTGACACTATTTGAAGTTTATATTACTTAAAACGAGAGCTGGTAAGTACGTCCTTAAAATTATTATGCTACACGTGCTTCATATCGTATTTATTGCCATCTCGTTCTCGGTATATATCTCGTCCTTGACAAAATTTTATCCATTCTCTCGTGTCTTTGCGTTCTAGTCACACCACATTTCCCCTAACTTTAATTTTTTTCTTGCTCTGTATCTCATTTTATCGATCACACTTTCACACAATAGCAAACGCTTACTAACTTCATACCATGTTCTTCCCACAACTTGAATGAAGCTGTTCTCGATGTCGATCTACCACATTTGATCGTCGAAAATATTGTATCGATTGTTATTCTATGTTAAGTTGGACATGTATTGGTTCGGGAAAATCTGGTTTGTACACAAATTATTATCGTCATCGTGACAGTTGTAATTATTGTGCACCAGCACTTGAAGAAGAGAAACAACAGATAATGAAGGAAAAGAAACAACATTTTCGAGCTTTGAATGGTAGTAAGTAACATTACTTCTCTCAGTTTACACATACACTTCTGATTTTCTTGTTTCTAGAACAACCCCCGTGGTCAGAATGGGGACGTAGTGATGAATCTTGCGTACGACATACGGGGCTTGACGTCGAACAAGTACAACAACTATATTCTATGCGTAGCATCTCAAAAGAGATACTTTTTAATTAAATATATAGCTATTTAAAAAAGCTACAGCTATTTAAAAAAATCATAGATATTCTCAAAAGAGATACTTTTTAATTAAACATACAGCTATTTAAAAGGGGTACAACTATTTAAAAAAGTCATAGCTATTTAAAGTGTTTCGACTATTTAAACCACTACAGCTACCTAAAGTTTCCTATAGCTATTTAAAATTTCACACTGTTATTGAAATTACTATAGCTATTTTTTTTTACTATGAATTTAAAAAAAAAAGTCGCCTGAGTAAAATACATTCACTCTGACACAGACCACGATTATGGTACATACAACAGTTTGATTCTTTGTAAAACTCTTTTCGCTCTAGTTTCATGATCGAAATATTCCACTTTTTTTTTACAATCCTGCTCAATTATATAATTAAAAGATATATACGCTACATAATTTAAATGTATTTCCAAATCATAGTAAAATTATATAGTTTTTTCATTTTCATCGAACTCTGCTAATGATCTGATAAAGGAACATACAAGTAACAATTATATAGTTTTTTCATTTTCATCGAACTCTGCTAATGATCTAATAAAGGAACATACAAGTAACTATATAGTTTAAAGAGATTTAAAAATGCTAGTAAAACCGTATAATGTTTTTTCATTAAACACTGCTCAATGACATGGTAAAAAAATATAAGCTAATAGATGATTTGAATACATTTAAAAAAGATAGCAAAGTCATATTATTTTTTTTCTATCAAACTCTGCTCAATCATCTAATAAACTAAATATACAAGCAACTATATAATTCAAATATATTTAAAAAGCGATATTAAAGGCATATATTTTTCCATTTTTTTCATCACATTCTGCTCAATGATATGATAAAAAAAATAGGAGCTAATAAATGACTTACGTACATGTGAAAAAAAATAATAAAATCATATAATTTTCTTTTTTGATCAAACGCTGCGCAATGATATGATACAAAAATACAAGCTAATAGAGGATTAGATGAATTTAAAAAAGATAGTAAAGTCATTTAATTTTTTTTTTCATCAAACTCTGGTCAATTATCTAATAAACAAAATATACAAGTAACTATTTAATTCAAATATATTTAAAAAATGATAGGGAAATTATATATTTTTTCATTTTTTTTTCATCACATCCTGCTCAATGATATGATAAAGAAATACAAATAACTATATATTTAAAAATTATTTAGAGATGATAGCAAACTATATCGTTAAAATATATTTAAAAATGCTTGTAAAATCGTGTAACGTGTTTTCATTAAACGCTGCTCAATAACATGATAAAAAAATATAAGCTAATAGATGATTTAAATACATTTAAAAAAGATAGAGTCATATAAGATTAAATAGCTGCACAAGAATTAAATAGTTATATCAATAGAATAAATAGCTGAAGAAAAGTTTAAATAGCCATGGAAAAATTAAATAGCTACAGATAAAAGTAATAGAATTGATTCTAAGATTAAAAAGCTATAGAAGAATTAAATAGTTATATCAAAAGAATAAGTAGCTGAAGAAAAGTTTAAATAGTCATGGAAAAATTAAATAGCTACAGATGAAAGTAATAGATTGATTCTAAGATTAAATAGCTATAGGAGAATTAAATAGTTATATCAAAAGAATAAATAGCTAAAGAAAAGTTTAAATAGTCATAGAAGAATTAAGTAGCTATTGACTACCGTAAAACACTTGTTCAATATTTAAATAGCTATAGAATGATTAAATAGCTATATGAAAGGATAAAATTTCTGCACAGAAAATATAATAGAAAAATTTAGGAGAAAAAGTATCTCTTTTGAGAATGAGCCTATTCTATGTGTGAACAATCACTTATAAACTACTGCTCTCATAGGAACGAACAACAAACAAACAGTACCATGACACCATATTTATCTCCTATGAATTTGCTGATAGTTACATTATGGTACTTAAAACATTACCATTGTGAACATTATATTGCGACAAAAGTGAATTTGACACAACAAGCAGTGAATTATTTCTTATCATCGACTCTGGATATTTTACACTCCTGTATATATCCAGAATTAATTTCACTACCTGTTGATCTATCGAACAGAAGAACACCACATGGACCTGAACGACAACATAAATTAATCATTGATTCGACTTTTATTGCAACACTTGAACATTGTGATTCAAGAGAACGTAAAACATATTATCATGCAAAAAGTTCAACAAATTATGCATTAAAAGTACAAATAACTTGCGATTTTCATCATCGAATAGTTCATGTATCCGAATGTTATCACGGAAGTATACATGACATTACAATTCTAAGGGATTCAGATCCGTTAGAACATGTAAATGACTCTGTACAAATCATTGCAGACAAACGATACATTGGTGAAGAAGATGTAGTTACTCCAAGAAAAAAATCTCATGGACGTGAATTAACAGATGAAGATAAAGAGTTTGATCGTGACATTAATAGTGCACGAGCAGCTATTGAAAATATTAATCAACGTCTTAAAACTTACGCTATTCTTGGTGGTGTTTATAGAGGAGCTATTGATAACTTCCATAAAGCAACAAAAATTGTACAAGTATAGGCAATGAGAACTTGATTTTGAACGTGAAAAGCGGAAAGTTCGAGCAACTATTATGCATGCGTCGGAAATTAATGAATTCAAGGAAAGTTTCATTATGAATAATTCAAATGTAACCGTTGTTAGAAGTGATCCTTTAATGGATATTAATAATTATAATATTGAATGGTGACTAGATAATATTCAATCTGTTATAAAAACAGCAGCATCCATGATTTTAAGTCATTACATAATAGAAGAGTTCACTTTGAACGAAGATCAATGTCACACCTTTCTTATCATCACATCTCAGCTTGAAAGGGACAGCTTTTTGAAGCAAGCTACGATTGATCAATTCTCTCATAATCTAAGTCAGTATTACTTTTACAGATGACGTTCAGCAACAACTTATTATGTGTATACCACATTCGGATGGTACTGGAAAGTCACAATTGATCAGTGCACTTATTTGATACTTTCCGTTGACAAAACAATCTCGCTCCTATTGCTGTTGCCGCTACGAATACATGTAACATGGTTATACATTCATTTCTTAAAGATTCCATAAAAATATCAATGGGAAAACGAGTATTAATTCCTGGAGACAATTCAATTCAGAATGAATGGCGTCACATCTGATACATTTTTATTTTATTGAAAAAATTTCTAGCGTTGGCTTTTAACTTTTGACTCGTTTCCACAAAATTTTAATCATTGCCAAAAATCCAGATCCAAATGTACTTTTCGATGGCATTATTATAGTTTTATTTGGTAATTTTATGCCATATGCACCTATATGCGAAAAAGTTTTATTCACAGATTTTTTATGCAGTTCGAATTATTTGATGCTGATTCGACATCTCAAGCAAAAACTATCATTAAGTGAACATGAAATTTAATGTCAGGTTGGACGAGTTATTTATTCTTCAACTGAATGTTGTTGTTAAACTTACAATGCAGATGCTGTTGAATGAAAAAGAATATGTAGAAGCACTTGATTGAGTGAGACTTGGTGAATGTACTATGAAAGATTATGAACTATTTCTTTTATTGATTATCGGTCGACCTGGTGGCATTCACTCATTATCTAATGTTTCATGAAATAATGCTTCAATTCTAGTTTATTGAAATGAAACTCGTGCTGATCTGAATAACCGTGCAGTATTAAACAAATGTTATGAATTAAATTATCCTTTAATAGCATGTCTAGCTCACGATAGAACAAA